ATATATTTATTTATTTGGGTGTGTTATATTTATATAGTTTTTTAGATGCACTCGATTTTTGATCCATAGTAGCGCATAAGATTTTTTATTTAATTTCACCTATTTTTTATTGCTTTAATAAATGTTTTTTAGGTAATGCACTAGGCCGGTGCACCCTCTGTTTGTTTTCTTTCTATCCAGCTGGTAACTGCCATGGGGAGCATGTTCCAATGCAAAAAGACCCTAAAGATAAATGGTGCTCAGCTTGCAGAGGGTCTTTTTAATGTACAGTTGCAAGAAAAATTATGTGAACCCCTTGGGATTATGTGGAGTTTTGCATGAATTGGGCATAAAATGTGCTGTGAACGTCATCTAAGTCACAACAATAGAAGAACACAGTCTGCTGAACATAATACTACACAAACATTAGATGTTGCCATGGTTTAATTGCACATAACATGTAAACATTCACTGTGCAGGGAGGAAAAAGTATGTGAACCTTTGGACTTAATAACTGGTTGACCGTCCTGTGGCAGCAATAACCTCAACCAAACATTTCCTGTAGTTGCAGATCAGACCTGCACAACGATCTGGAGTAATTTTGCACCACTCCTCTTCACAAAACTGTTTCAGTGTAGCAATATTCTTTGAATGTCTGATGTGAATCGCTCTCTTAAGGTCATGCCACAGCATTTCAATCGGGTTGAGGTCAGGACTCTGACTGGGTTACTCCAGAAGGCGTTTTCTGTGCTGTTGCAGCCATTATTTTGTTGAATTACTTGTATGCTTTGGGTCATTGTCCTGTTGCATCACCCATCCTCTGCGGAGCTTCAGTTGGCTGACAGATAGTCGTACGTTTTCCTGCAAAATGTCTTGATAAACTCTGGAATTCATTTTCCCATCAATGACAACAATCCGTCCAGGCCCTTAGGCAGCAAAGCAGCCCCAAACCATGATGCTCCCTCCGCCATGTTTTACAGTGGGGATGAGGTTTTGATGTTGGTGTGCTGTGCCTTTTTTTTTGCTGCACACATAGTGTTGTGTGTTCTTCCCAAACAACTCAATCTTGGTTTCATCTGTCCACAGTATATTTTGCCAGTAGTGCTGTGGAACATCCAGGTGCTCTTTTGCAAACTTCAAATGTGCTGCAATATTCTTTTTGGACAGCAATGGCTTCCTCCGTGGTGTCCTCCCATGTACTCCATTCTTGTTTAATGTTTTCCTTATTGTAGATGTGTCAACAAAACTGTTAGCATGTGCCAGAGATTTTGTAGGTCTTTAGCTGACACTCTGGGATTCTTCTTTACCTCATGCAGCATTCTGCGCTGTGCTCTTGCACTCATTTTTACAGGAGGACCATGCCTAGGGAGAGTAGCAACAGTGCTAAACTTTCTCTATTTGTAGACAGTCTGTCTTACCATGGACACATGAACATCAAGGCTTTTGGAGATACTTTTGTAACCCTTTCCAGCTTCATGCAAGTCAACAATTCTTGATCGTAGGTCTTCTAAGAGCTCTTTTCTGCGAGGCATAGTTCACATCAGACAGTGCTTCTTGAAACCGTAAACCCAAAACAGGTGTGTGTTTTTTTAAGGGCAGGACAGCTGTCAGCAACACATCCAATATCATCACACTGATTGGAGTCAAGGTTGGCTCCCTCCTGGCTCCAATTAGCTCTGGGAGAAGTCATTAAGCTAGGGCCTCACATACTTTTTCCTCCCTGCACTGTTAATGTTTACATGTTATGTGCAATTAAACCATGGCAACATCTAATGTTTGTGTAGTATTATGTTCAGCAGACTGTGTTCTTCTATTGCTGTGACTTAGATGATGTTCAGAGCATAATTTATGCCCAATTCATGCAAAACTCCATGTAATCCCAGAGGGTTCACATACTTTTTCTTGCAACTGTAGCTTAAAGGTCAATATTGAAAATACACAAAAAAATACACAAATCTTTCAAATAACATGATTGATGGTGTCTTAAAGTTGCTTGTGAAGTTGAAAAACAGTATCAGCCAATCCTTAAAAATGTGACAAAAATAAAACTACTGCCACTGAATAACATATCCCCAGTGGATTTCTGTTTGTAAACAAAAAGGCTGGGGAACCTGGGGGACATCATTGAAATATATATCATGCTTTGGTAAGAGTTTCATCGTACACAATGTGACGGAGCACTTGAGGTGTTTTGGTACTTGGATTATGAGCTGATTCACGCAGACCAAGATTTTCCACAGATTCATTCATCACTTGGAACAGCTGGCTTTGTCACTTTTTTGGGGACTATTATTGATATTACCTGTTCATGCGCAAAAGGACTCACAGCTACTTTTATTTTTTGGTATTTTATCTGTTGCTTTTTAGTGCAGCACTTTTGATTTTAAAACGTAACAATGTTCCTTTAATGTAAATCCAATGTCTGTCATTCAGTCCAGTAGGTCCTTGTCAACCATGGTGACCCACTGTCCAATGATGTTCACCTCTTGCATGCCCACTGCAAAATGAAAGAATCCCAGCCAGGTGCAATATCTAAGCAAACAGAATAGGGATCCTGGGTGACACCATTTATTAAATATGGTTATGACTAAATTTGATCAAAGACATCACCCAGGATCCCCAGGGATCTGTCCAGCTAGCCAAGGATCTGTCAGTTTTCACCAGTAGCACTATCACCACAAAAGGACATATCCCCGGCTGATGTTCATTTGCAAATTAATGTGACCAATTTGTTTGGCCATTTGCCAAAGTGCAAAAAGGTTGGATTAAGGTCAAACCCATGGTTGAACTGACCCATAGCTAATCTTTAGGACACAGACAGCAATTTAAATATGACAGTGGTTCTAACCATTCCCCAGTCAATCTGAAATATTAAAAGTTTTGTGCACTTAATATTTTCAGTATATATATTATTATTATTATTATTATTATTATTAATACATCATTAATTTGCTTCAATTTTCTACCATTAATTGATGGAATGATATGCTTAAAATAAAAGATAAATGAAAAAGTATATGAATTAGAATTTGTTTTTTGCTAATCTTTATGTCACAAATGTCCTGTATATAAAACAGCTGCAACATGCAAAATCATAAATCATACAGTATTAGAATGCCATTCACTTTAGATTCCTCTCCTGCTTTATGCTACTTCAAATGTAAAAATTGGCTTTGGTGTCTGGCTCAATGCATTCAGGGCAGGAATTAAACTTTGTCAGCACAAGTCTAAGTCCGGCATTCAAACAGCAGACTATACAGTTTCTTTTTTACACCATACAGCATCTATTCTTATGCAAATTCTGTAGGTCCCACACAAATTAAAAAATCACTATATAAAGGAAGATCCAGTTTCTGTTTGTTAGACTTTGGTCTGGTACCTCTACTATAAAGCACCATGGGAAAGGTAAGATATAGAGACCAGAATCAATAACTTGATTTAACCTTTCCACATGTATACATTTTTGTATATTTATATATATTTATATTTTGTAGATTTTGGTTTGCAAATTTTTTTTTAAAGTTTCCACATCCTAGACCTTGTAGTTACTGTTATAGAAACACATATATACATATCTTGTATGTAACATGCAAATCTTATTTGCCAGCAGATTTTTAAACAATGTACTAATTTAACCCACACTGCACATCCTTCTTCACTTTAACTTCTGAATGCTCATTGTGGTAATATAGGGGGCAATGTCATGTATGGTCTCATACATTTAACAAGCCATTAGCATCATAAAGGATTCATATAGCAGACATAAACATACTGTATGTCCTGAAACAATGCTTTTGTTGTATACAATAAAGTCAAGTGATGGCAACTTCTTAAAACGTCTACACAAAAAAAGCATAATATTGCACCATTTGTACAGATTCTATGCAAATCAACTTGACTGCAGTATTGTTATTTTTACTAACTTTCTCTAACTGTACCTGATAGCCTTGTGCCATTACAATGGCTAAATTCTTGTATGCCACTCTACAATCAGGCTAAGTTCTACTGTTACTAAAAACTTACCAGTCTTTTGGTACCTTAAAGACGATCTTTTTTTTTTTGTAGGTAGGTGTTAGGGAGGTAAATGAAAAATGTTAATAGCACTTACTGTGAAATACCTTGCAAGATATGTGGTTTTAAAAGCCACAATTTTATGCTGTTGACTGAAATGCACACAGTTCTGAACTCTGGTTTGCAGTGTAGACTTATGGGGCCTGACTACCTCATTACAGTTGATCCAGAGTAGAGTGCAGAAACACTGGGAACTGCTAGGCCATGGGTTCAGAGCACAAATAGGGCAGGTATCGTATTTTAATAGATACAATGAACATAGGTGCAATGGAAGTATTACTTCTTAAAATCTAACTGTACAATCTTTGTGGAGGCCCTCTTAAGCCAATGAAATTGTACACATCCAGGGAGAAGTATCACAACATGTAGCATTGGCACTAGCAAGTTCAAGAGTAACACTAATACAAGTTTAAATCCTTACTGATACTTTTGCCCCTACAAAAAAAATATTAACCATATATGTTTACGACTGCTCAAGGTAGAGAGACTCCCAATCTCCAAGCACAACTCCTCCTGTAGGTGCTAATTCAGCTCGTGTGCTACATAGATCAGGACAAAGGACATCTGATCTGCTGCTCTCCAAACAATCCACTTTATTGAACCAAGATAAAACCAATACAGACAGTGGAAATACAGTGGGGGACTGGCAGCGAAACGCATTTCACGCTAAATACAGCACTTATTCATTACCCCAATGAATAAGCGCTGTCTTTAGCATAAAACGTGTTTAGCTGCCAGTCCCAACTGTATTTCCACTGTCTGTATTGGTTTTATCTTGGTTCAATAAAGTGGATTGTTTGGAGTGCATCCCATCGGACGTCCTTTGTTCTAAAAAAAAAAATTCAAGTGATAAGTAGCTATACTAAATTATAATACATTTGGCTGGCTTTAATTTTGGTATCAGGATTCACAGCTAGAGGATGTTATACTACCCACTGTGAAAGATAATGATGTTTATACATGACAATCAATCAAAGACTCTATCTGTACCTGATTTATTTCTGTTATGTGATACTAAAGGTGTTTTGATACACATTCTTAGGTGGAATTTTTTGCCTCTATTCCAGATAATTTTCTATGAGGACAGGAACTTCCAGGGTCGCTCTTATGAGTGCAGTTCTGATTGTTCTGAGCTAAACTCTTTTTTTAGCCGCTGCAATTCCATCCGTGTGGAAAATGGAAACTGGATGCTCTATGAACACCCCAACTACAGGGGAAACCAATATTTCCTGAAAAGGGGAGAGTATCCTGACTTTTCTCACTGGACAAGTCACAATGACTCCATTAGATCTTGCCGTATCATTCCACAGGTATGCTTTGTATTAAACTATACTCCAAGTGGCACTTTTATTTATAGTATTTTGTTGTTTGTTTTTTTTTTTATATTCGCATGTACAGCTTTTATCTGTCCATTTCTATCATTTCACTTCCAAGTATTTGTATATCTATATTTGCATAGGCAGAAAAAGAACATATATGAATGTTCAAAAAGAACAGTATCTTACCCAAAGTTTTCTTTAAACAATGTTTTTATTCAGTTCAGGTTAGAAGATGAACGCTAACATCAGACTGCTTACGACAGATAACAATATTCATTGTCCTTATATTGATAGGTTTAGTATTAGTTACATGCACAAACATTTACCATAGTTGTAAAGCTATATTATTAAATGTAATTGTTTGGCTTGCTAATTACACTGGGTGAATTATGCAATATTCTTAAAATTAAAAAGCTAAAAGTACACAGCACTAAATTACGAGCAATAGGCAACTGCTTCCAGTGTAATAGAGCAGACAGTGGTGTGTTTAGGTTTTGTGCTGCCCTAGGCAAACCAAAAATTGAACCCCCCCACCCCTCCCTGGCGCTAGAGAGCCTGCCGCCAACCAACACCATACAACCCCCCATGGAGAAAGCCTAACAGTGACCAACAACACCCCTGCCCCACCCCACCACCCCCACCTGAGAGAGCCTTCTACTAACACCCCCTGGTGACAGAAAGAAAGACACTCACCTTCACAGTTGTGGCCATCCCCAGGAATGACAGTTGGGCTTTGCCTACACCATCAAGCAGCCCACAGCCTCTCTCGGATCCCACCTGGTACCCATGTCCCTCCTGCCCTAGGCAAATGTCTTGTTTGCCTTGTGGTAAATACGCCCCTGAGAGCAGAGACATCATTTTTGTAAAGAGCCCACATTACCTGATGCTGTAAAAGAGAAAAGGACAAAATAGTGAACTTTACAGCACTGCAAAGATCTCTGCAGCATCCCTTCACAGCCACCAGGTGCCAAATCTCAGCAGATCTTATTCTCACTCTCTAAGCCTGTATATTGTGTCAAAAATGGCAGATGTTGCATTTGTTTGCTAGCATCTAGACCACGGGTGTCAAACTGGTGGCCCTCCAGCTGTTGCAAAACTATAAGTCCTATGAGGCATTGCAAGATTGACAGTTACAAGCATGACTCCCAAAGGCAGAGGCATGATGGGACTTGTAGTTTCGTAACAGGTGGAGGGCCACCAGTTTGACACCCCTGGTCTAGACTAATATTGTTTTGTATCAATGCTGGAAATATCTGAGAGTGACTGTTTTCTTTGTTCGCTAATTCAGATCAGACCTATTCCTGCCTTCAGTGTGCCCTGTCTTTTTCTGCTCTCCTCACCTTCTTATTTATCCCATTATAATTTGTAGCCATTTATAAGAAGAGCTAGATTTCCCAACATCTAGAAAAATATTTGGTAGTTTTTTCTTCTTTTGCAGAACTCAAGGTAAGAAGGGCGCTTTATATAAAAGTAACTATATGTGAAATATATGAAATAAAGACTAGAGTGAAACCTAATAAACGCACTCCAAATTTTCTGCTTTCTCACAACAACCACTATGAAAAGAAACAAGCAGACATGGGCATTTGTATGAATGTAAATCTCACCTCTAAGTTGCTATAATAAGGCATTCCTATGTATTAGTGTGGGTGGATGTAGTGTTATCCACCTGTGTTCTCTCCCTGTTGGGGCGGAAATATCAGCCCAATGTCAGACTGTAAGGTCCACACAGAAACTGACCTCCAGTTTCCTCCAATTAAAACTAGGTAGCTGTTTTGTGATACTACAAGGATGGCTCAAAAGAAATTACAAAATGAATTCCATAAAAAAAAAAAACTTTTATAAAAAGGGAACTGTATTGAAATCTATTCACCCAATGAGGAAATGTCCTAGTTGTAAGGCCTCATGCACACTGGATATTTTTTAAACTGCTCTTACGGGTGTCTGGTGGGTTTTGTTTCAGCCTTTAATCGCCCCTGCATGTTAGCCTAGGTGCCCATGCACATGTAAACATTTAAAGGAGTCTAGAGGCAGGGGCGTTTAGAATCAGAGAAAAACCCCACTGTCAGCATGTCCAATAGCAGTGGCGTTTTGGCAGAAAAAAAAAACTCTTTAAGCGCCTAAATGCATGTTGGCACATGTTGTTAGTAAGCAAGGCTGATAAAATGTATTGATAAGGTTTATAAATATTGCATTGTTTGCAGTTGATGGCCAGAACAGAGCACCTTCATCTGTGTAACAGAACAACAATTATATATGGAAACGTTTGTGGCAACCATCAGATGCTAAATGATTTTGACTCCTGGATATATTTGTCACATTAATTACAAAAATTAGGACAGGGAAGAATAGTTCAGAGGTAGAAGACACTATCCTTTGCATGCCTAAAATTAAAAAATCTGTGTTTTGGACTTTTTTTACATACCTTCTAACATTTATAAGAAACATGGAGAACATCAAACGCTCCTTCCTATCTCCCAGTCTTTTGTTCAATATCAACTACATTTGAGCATAGTACTCTCACTTTTGCCAATAAGTATGCTTCTATACAAAAAAAGTAGGAAACAGTGCAGTACAACCCAGTACACATCTTCATTTCACAAGTTAAATATACTCTAATAAAAATATCATTTTGTTTACACAATCAGCTATTTAACCACTTGCCCTCCTGAGAATTTACCCCCTTCATGACCAGGCTATTGTTTGCTTTATGGCGCTGCATTACTTTAACTGACAATTACGCGATCATGCAATGCTGCACCTAAATGAAATTTGCATCTTTTTTTTCCCAAAAAATTTAGCTTTCTTTTGGTGGTATTTGATTGCCTGTGTGTTTTTTATTTTTTGTGCTCTAAAAAAAAGTCAAATTTTGAGAAAAAACAATGTTTTTGACTTAAATTTAGGACAAAATGTACTCTGCTCCATGTCTTTGCTAAAAAAAAATCCCAATACGTGTAAATTAATTGGTTTACGTCAAAGTTATAGCGTTTGTAAATGGCAGTATATATACTGGGATTTTTTTTTCATTTTTACTAGTAATGGCGGCAATCAGCGACTTATAGCGGGACATTCTGACACTGGGGGGAACTGACTTGGTGTCACTGACATCCCCAGTGATACTAATACAGTGATCAGGAAGGGGTTAACATGAGGGGTGATCAAAGGGTTAACTGTGTGCAGAAAGTGTGTTACTAGGGGGCGAGGTGTGTGTGTTTCACTGTAATCACACTGCTCTGGATGGCTGTGCTGTGCACAGCCATCCAGAGCAGTGTGCCTGAGCTGACAGGGAGGAGGACTTTTAGTAAACAAAAAAGTCCTCCTTCCCGTTAGCGATCGTTGGAAATCACGGACACCAGTGAGTAATTACCGGGGCCCGTTGATTGACAACCGTGGCACGGGTAGGGCGCGTTTGCCTCGCGCATGCCCCCTACCTGGAGTTGCAAAATCACGTATGTATGCGTGATTTTGAGCACCGTGCCGCCCTGTAGTAGTTTTTCTGCTATAGTGCGGTCAGGAAGTGGTTAATATCCTGTAAACCAGAATAAACTTGAAAAGTTTCTTAATGCCCTGATCCCCTGATTAATCTTATGCAAACACTTCTAACACCAGCATACTAAGTCTATAAGGTGGGATAGCTATATAAGTCTGTGAAGCTGAAAATGTTAATGTAGACAGAAATGTCCATAGCCTTAATGTGCTAGGGATTATCTGCATTCTCATAACACACTAACAACCAGCATAATCTAAACCCATGGTGACCAACCCATGGACCTTTGACACTTATTGTGTAGCTTTTGGGGGCCCCTGCATATAGTATTTTGTGTTTTCCTTACCTAGGTGCTTACTTAGGCCAGTATAGGAAATATTCTTAAGCATGGGTTCCAGTAGTTAAATAGTTTGGCTCATTTCTTTTGCACTGTCTTTCTTTTTCCTGTTCTTTCTTAATAATGTTTTTATTCTCTGAACCTTTTTAATGGTTCTTGCTGTGGCACAAGTAATTTTTATTGAGGTTGTAGGAATCACAACTGTGGAAGTACTGATTTGCCAAGGAGCTGTAATAGCAGTGATCTCTAGTAGTCTTATCTAATGTGTCTTCAGTCTATGTCTGCCTCCTGCAATATGTCTATAGTCTCCAACCACTGCTATTGCATGTTTACAGTTTCTGATCATCTCTGGCAGCATGTCTTCAGTCTTTGACCATCTCCTATTGCCTGTCTGCAGTTTCTGACCATCTCTGTAGTCTCTAACCAATCTGTCTTTCATAGCTTCAGTCCCTGACAATTTTCTGTAGAATTACATTCACCTACTATTATATGTGCCCCTTTGCTGATGTCAGGGGTTCCCCCTGAGCCTCCTTATGTTAAGACAGTAGTCCACCACTGATCTAATAACCTATATCCCTGTTCTCTTCAGCACCGTGGCACATTCAGAATCAGGATCTATGAGAAAGAAGACTTCAATGGAGCAATGTTGGAATTTACTGAAGACTGTCCCCATGTACACGAAGAGTTTAGATACCATGATATTTATTCCTGCAATGTTTTGGAAGGTCACTGGATTTTCTATGAAGATCACAACTACAGAGGGCGCCAGTATTACCTGAGGCCTGGAGAGTACAGGAGATATTCTGACTGGGGTGCAACTAATTCCAGAGTTGGCTCCTTCAGACGGGTTCAAGAATTCTATTAAATAAAACACACATAATTCTACAGTTTGGCCTAAATAAAGTCTTTAATCATGAAAAAATTGGTCATAATGTTTTATTTAACATTTTTTAGATCAAAATAAAATGAAATATAAACAGTATAAGGTGCCAGAATTACCAATTGTATGTTAAATATGAATTAATTAAATAAACATTAGTTATTTTTCCATCAGTGAAAGATATTTGTAGAATTTACTGTTCTCAATACTTTAATCACAAAAGTGTAAAAAACTTTTTCATTTACCTTCCATAGACACAGCAACAGCGCATTATGCAAACACTTTTT